TCATGCTAAGCAGAATGAGGGCGTTCTAACTTCTTAACTAATGTAGAATTTTACAGTGAAATCAACCAAAAAGTTACGCCTACAATATAATTGACCTAATACATATTGATTTCATACCGCCAGTATATTTCCTTTTAAGGGAGGCCCACTGTTTCAACCTTGAGATCCAACAAAGCCCTGACAGTATTCAACTCGGAACCCTCTTGTGATAGCAGAGGAAAGATGAGGTGATGAAAAACTTAGCGCCAGCTGACACAATGAAAAATGTTTGGCGTGCTTCATTAAACTCGGCTAAAAAAGCTTAAGCGGTTACTGTCCCAACCAAGAAGAAGAAGAAACGAGAATTGACACTGAAGATGACACAACGCCGAGACCGGTTTGTCTCCAAACCAAATTTGACAAGGGATGACGGAAATTCGTTCCAAAATACATCAAGAAGAAGAAGTTTTAATTACATTTAATTAATTACAAAAATTATGCAATAAAATGCATTTTTATTTAAAAACCACAATAAAAGTTTTAATTAATACATATCCGATTTTATCTTTTTTTTTGTAATTGCTTAAACAAACATATATACTGCGTGTTAATTTAACGCTTGATCAATTCCAACAGGATAAAACGTGTCACATTAATTAAGCAAATGGCATTAAACCACATCATCGAAGCGATAACCATATAATACAGGTCAATGCAATACGGTTAGGAAGTGGTGAAGAGCTGGGTAACTGCACATATATACAGACATACATATACTGCCACAGTCATTTGCCTTTTGAACGTAACCCAACAAGCAAAATAAACTTAAAGAAAGTTTTTTTTAAGTTTTCAATTATAAACATTAAGCTTACAAAACGTTGATTTTTTGTTTATAAAACGCTTGAAAGTAAGCGTAATATAATCGAAAAGGAACATTGGTTATAAGCGTAGAAATATAAACTTGTAATAAATGTTCAAAAGAAAGCTTTTTATAAGCGTAAAAGTGTAAACTTATAATAAAGGTTCAAAAAAAGTTTTATATAAGCGTATCAATATAAACTTACTAAAAATTTTCAAAAGAAAGCTTTTTATAAACATTTTTATAACCCTTTATTTAAAGATATTTCATTAAAACCTCATACATAGATTGCTTAACATCTAGAAACTAAACGAAATGCGAATTTTCCGCGGACTCATCTACAGTCGCGAAAATATAAATAGGAAATAGACATTTTAGCATACAAATTCACAATAACACATGCAAATTAAGCATAAAAAAGTTAATTATTACATCTTGTTGCGTGCTTTCAATTACTTGCGGTTATTGGCAAATTAAAAAAGGGACATCGATGCAGCTATATATTGCGCTTTATCGCCACCATTCTCATTGAAGAACTTTTCTGAAAAAAATTTAATACATTTTTAATTGAATGTTAAACTAAGAAAGGATAAGGGGAACTCATCATTTGAAGGCTCGAATGCTCCACCGACTAGCGCAGCGGGTCCTGGATTGGATTTTCTTGTTTTACCGCATTGGTTTTATTTAATTTTTTCTTTTAATAATATATTTTAAAAAACGTAAACACGTCACTTACGATTGAAAAAATTTTATATTTACTACTTCATGTCGTTGGCATTTACATTTCATTTATAAGTTTAAGTTATTTATAAACATTCGCTCTCAAAACTTATTAAAGGTTTGTTTGAAAAAACTTTTAATAAGCTTAATATTAAAAATGCTTATTTAACGCTTATTATAGCAAACTTAATTTAAGTTATTTTTAAAAACGTTTACTGAAATGCTTGTTGGGAATAAACAGCAAATCAAAAATGTACTAGAAAATCATCATAAAACACATTTTTGCACTCAAACAGTCAACTAATCCCCCAACACTAAATCCAAAGGCACTCATGCGAAATTAATTTGTCGCGGTTGCATTGAAATAAGGTAAATTTGCATATTTTAGGGAGGTATGAACGAGTAGTAGTTTTCACTTTCAATAAACGGAATTCAGTGTTGCCGGATGTTACTCATAAATGTTGCTACATACATAGTATGTACATAAACACTCCATATTTTAATGTTCGCACTGATATTTCAAAATAAAGCAACAGTAATATACAGGTCCGCCAAGAGAAAATTCTGGCCCTGTACTAAATTAAAGGTATGTGAATATTAAATATTCAAATTTATAAACTCAGCAAAATACTATGACTTTTATCTTCCGGGGGGCGTTGAGCCGGCATTAGCATATGAAGACCTTGAGCTAAATGCAAGTAAATGCGACGAGTAGTTATAAGAGCGCGTTAAGCGCCCGTCATGTGAATGGAGTCTATAGATCGCCATTTTTGTTCTAACAGAAATTCGTCCGCATCTTGGAATCTTTCTTAAGTCGCCTCACTCATCAAATCGTTGCCGGTTCTTTCTATCCTCAGCCTTTAAAGCTATTCATAGCCCCGTAGCGTGACATTCCTCGTCGTACCAGTTCCTTACTCATCAAATCGTTGCCGGTTGTTTCTATCCTCAGCCTTTAAAGCTATTCATAGCCCCGTAGAGCGACATTCCTCGTCGTACCAGTTCCTTACTTCGGGATCGCTGAAATCCGGCTACTTTTTCGGAGGCAGTCGGTATTGCGCGGGTAATGTGGTTCCACCGCTCGTATACACTTAGGACTTAGGTCTTTTTATGCGGTACATGCGTTCCTCAGAAAACCGCATAAAAAAGTTCTTTACTTTCATACAAAAACAGAAGATGCGTTCCAGCATTTTCAAAAACTGCATAAATTCGGTTACTCAATGTAAAAAATTCTAGAAAACCGCATAAAAAAAACCAGTGAGGCAAAATTATTATTTCTTCACTTCAACACTATTATTCTACGTAAAACCCCCGCAAACATATTCTGAGCGTTCGAAAGGAGTCCTAGCTAGGTAAGAAATATGAGTTTCGAAAACAAAAAATTTTTTACTCTTATATGAATCTTCTAGGACTCATATATGATCCAAGTTATGAGCCAGCACCTTGTGGCAATATAAAAACAATAAAGGTTCGAAATGTATATCTAATCTTGTTTTTAAAGAAATTGAAAAAAATTAGAAAACAAACAATTAACAAAATTTAGCCGCAGCTGTTGCTATTAAATGCATGTTGGAATGTATATATGCACGTAAGTATGTATGTATGTTATTTGATAGAAATTTTTGCTGAATTCCTTTGCAAATATAGTGCGTTAAATAAGACCCAAAGAACAACATAAAATAAGAGCCCGAATGTAGTAATTTATGAGGCCGATAAGAGCCTCAAAAAGAGTCTGAAATGATTCATATATGAGGCCAAAAATTGTTTTAAAAGAGTCAAAGTGAGCTGTATATGAGGCCAATAAGAGTCCAATATGACTCATATTGGGGCTCATTTGATCTATGAATTTAAGCTCATATAAGCCGACCTTCGGAGGAATGGAAATACCCTCATATCGAGCTCTTAAATGAGCTCATTATGAGCGTAAAGGCTCCGAAATAGGACTCCTTAAAGACTCATTTATGACTCCAAATGTTTGCTGGGACTGAACATTAATGAAATAAATAAAATTTTCTCTGTATTTTAACCAACAACAAAAAAATACCACAATAAATATATGAATTATGTAAGAATACAAAAACAAATTATTTATCAGAAGTACTGTCTCTTACACACTGAAAAAAGTAATAAAAACCCTCAAAAAAGTAAAATCGCTACCGCGAAAAAATGGTTTGAAAAACCGTATAAATTCAAATCCGCATAAAAATAAACCGCATAAAAAGCGACCTTATAGTGTATTCGGTTTGTTGTGGCTAGTATGCTGGCTGTCTGTTGTGATTCCAACTTTTCGTCGTTGAGTTTTCTTAATGTTGTGGATACTCTTTTTTGAGAGCGCAATGAGGTAAATAAGGTCTACTGAATATGCAAGTTACGGACGTTAATTCCGTATAAGTCAAAAAAATTAATTGGGCCAGCCGCCCAAAAGGAAACACAGACAGGTTAGGAATTCACTTAGGTTTTATTAACACTTAACTTCTTACTACTAAGTCTGATACTAAACGTACTGTATGATAACCCGTCCCGAACTCGACTGACTGCACGTTGTGGTCGTTGCTTGCTTCCCACCTTCGTTCTCCGGCGGCAATGGTTGAGTAACATGTTTACAACCCATTGTCTGAGACTCGATTTGGCCTTGATTTCCCACGGGTGCATTATGGAATGCAAGTGGCAATGTCTCCCGTTACACTATATGATGAAATTAAAATATGCTGACACTGCGGCACGTGTAAGAGCGCGGTTACCCACGAACGTGTACGTAGCGTAGCGTAGAAGTACGTAGAAAGATATCAAGTATCCTGTTGATAGAAAGAGAGAGAAGTAACGTCTACGTCACGGTCATGCGGTGGTGAGTTTTTGTTAACACGCAGATCCCATAAGATAGATCGTGTCAGCTGACACGTTCTCCGTTTTTACGTCCGTGGGTAACTGCGCTTTAACGGTCAACCGTGGGAGCGTCGCAACAAATGCGACTGGTGCGTGTTAACTTGCATTTATAGTTACTCGGCTATACCCAATTCCTATTCTTGCATTCGCATTTTCGCACCCTAGGTTACGTGAGCAACAAATGGGCGAGTTGCGGTAACAGACCCATGTGTAACTTTGGGTCGCGTGAGAAAAAGTAAGGGTTTTGGTGGGGCAACTCGCACTTAATCGGTTTAACGACTCAATGAAGCCCGCTTTGTCTGTCCAAAATGAGGCGTGGCTGCTGGTTTTGAGACCCACCACGCTAAACATAAATTTCCAAAGAAAGGTAAAAGAAAGCCGACTCGTAGCAGTTACAATAAAAATCGCACACTTAATACATTCTGACAGAATGGTGGTTTGTTGTTGAATATCCAGCAACTGGACCGAGGGATATCTTCTAGAGAGGTTCTGAGAGTCAGAGTAGTCTTAAATATGCATATAAATACATATCCCGCATCGCACACGATTGATAAATACTTACCGGAATGTGTCATTTTCTCCTCTGTACTTGAAGTTGCGAAAGGCTCAGCGTCTCCACATTCTTTCTTTATATTGGACGTTATCATATTTTCTCCATCACTGGTGCTCACCTTTAATCGTTCGTCATTAATTTCGCCTTCGCCGATTTCCTGCTTTAATTTCAAATTTTCATTTTCATTAAGCACACCGCACACTGATTGTTCCTCTTTCTCTCGGCCAAATTCCTCGAAATCCTTTATATCCGCGCAGTGGTAGGACACACCAGACGACGAGCCCACCGACATTGGATATTCGCCATTGTAAACAGGCGTACTTTGTGTGCTGTCACTGCGGGCGCGCGTGCTGCAGCTGCTCACGCTGATACCGCTGTCGGTGCCGGTGGCGCTTATTAGCGGCGGTGAGGTGGTAAAACAGTCACTACTGTTGCAGCTCGCTGTCAATCGTGGAGAACAAACAGTATTTGTGCTGGTCAAATTGGTGGCGGAATATGATGCAGCGCTGTTAGCTGGGACATTAGTTACGCTATGCGGAGGCTGCCGATCTTTCTCCTCCTCCTCTCGGCACTCCCGTGCGTCTCTGCTTATTGTTGGCAACTCGGAAGATTCTCTGCTCGCCGGCAATATTTTCACTATGGGTGGGGTTAACTGAGGGGAAAGCGCTTGACACTGTTGTGCTGCGAATGTGCGTGGCGAAGACAATGTATTATTGAATAGTCTTTGCGGCGTTGAGGAGGGCGATTGTGAAGTCGGCTGTTGCCGATATTGCTGCAGTAGTTGTATTTGTTGTTGTTGCCTTTGCAGTTGCATGGTATAGGCGCTACAGTCAGTTGATGGTGGCCGCACTACATTTGGCGGTGGCGGCGTTGTTGTTGGCGCCGGTGATGGTGGCGTTGGTGTTGGCGTTGCTGGTGGTGAGCCACCATTCAAATGGGCAATTAAATGTGGTGTTGACCGCGCTGCTGGCGTATAAATTGGCTTTTGTTGCACTAGCGCCGTATTGGGACCGTCACCATAAAGTCGCATTTGTGGCGATTCATTCCCCGCGAATAATTTTGTTTGGTGTAGTGGTGACTGCGACTGCAAATGCGGCTGTGGTTGCGATTGTTGCTGCTGTCGTAATTGTGGTTGTGATTGCGGTTGCGTGTGCTGTGGTAAAGCATATGGCGTATGCGTTAGGGAACGCTGCGGCTGCTGCAACGGCAGCGCACTCTGCTGATAGGGTGAGCCACGTGGTGGGTAATGCAGCACACTTGACGGTATTAATTGCTGTCCAGCCGGTGTGTACATACCCCGTATTGAGTGAGGCGGCAGGGACTGCTGATAGGACAAGTAACGAGCACGATTGCTGTAAGCGCTGTCAACTGGTCCACTGCTGGCAGAGATATTGCCAGCAATTAGCCGCCCGTATGCACTGTCATAGTACTGTCGTTGTTGTTGTTGTTGTTGTTGTTGGTGCTGCTCGGGAGCGTAGTGCTGTTGTATGTGCGTTGTATATGTTGTGCTATTAAAATGTGCCGGTCTGCCAAATGCGCCATAGCCGGTGGGATATGCTTGCGGATGCGGCGATTGCGCGTTTGGCGGATAGCTCATATTGGGCGTATGTGATGGCGGATAATCTTTATTGAGTCGTTGTTGCTGCTGATGCTGAAGCGCAATTGGAAATTCCATAGTTGGCGTTTTTTTTTGTTTAAATTCTTTTTGGGTTTTCTTTGCTCAGTGCGGAAGTGATGTTAAATAGAGGCGACTGTTGATGCAATTTTTTGTTGTTGCCCTTTAGTGAGATATGTGGCTACGCTTGATTGTCTTGCTGTCATAACTATGTAATTTATACTTTAAGCGTATTTCTCTCCTGTGAACTTAGAATGTTTCAAGCTTTGTCGATCGAGTGAATTTGGCACTGGTGCATGTTGCACATTTGATAGTACAAACTAGTATTGCTTCTCACGCAATGCGTACAAAAGCGCGTGACTTTTGGATCTATCTTGGGTTTTTTATTATATGCCATTGATACGTTCATTGTGTTTACTTTTTCATAACATTTTCCTATAAGTCTTCTCAGCTTTCAGAGCTTACGCGGTATTCAGCTTTTTTGTAAGCTTTTCCAAAACTATTCCCACTACTTTTTACTTTTCAATAACTCTGAAGTTCAACTTCTTTCCGGTTTTTGCATTTATGCCACGTATGTATGTATGTATGTACTGCCGTTGTGTCAATCAGGCGTTACACATACAATTTTAATCCTTGACTTACCACCTACCTAGTCACTCATTGTGCGAAATATTAGTCTACCAATGCAAAGGCCTGAAATAAAAATGCTATCTACCAGCTCGTTCGCTTCAGCTATGTAGTCAGTTCTAATGCCAGAGGCGGAAGCCTACCAACAATCTCTTACGCCTGTGTCCATTTTTCTGGACATAAAACGCCCTTTGGCTGCATAGGCAAATCCGTTGCTTCTAGCACAGCTTGAAGAACACTGTTCCATTTGTTTACTTTTCACTTTGCTTTGTTTGCCTTATACACATTTGTTTATTTCAATTTTCTTCTATGGCTTTTTGTTCACTCCCAATGTTGGACAAAAGCTAAAATCTTCCCTTCCGGAAGTTCTTTTTTTCACTGTGAAGTTGACCATTGTACTCTTTTATCAAAGCAACTGTTCACTCACAAGAATGTTTTGCAATTTTTTTCGTTACCTCAGCTCAGTAACGTACTTTAATTTACTTGGTTTTGATTCTTCCTTATGTATGTATGTATGTACGTTCTTTTTTTGTTTGTTTAACATAACTTTTCACGATGCACATTCAAAGTTTTGATTAGAAATGGTTTGCTTTGTGTCCATTCAAAGGAATTTTCGCTGCATGAAGTTTACACATTTTTCCTGGGCAAAGAGAAAAGAAAAAAGAATTGGATAGTTAATACATTGAAAGCAAGAATAGATACTGCGTAGGATAATCTTTTCAAAAATCTTATTCGTAGAAATCAAATACATGTGGGCCAATCCATGTCAAGTCGACCAATGGTTGGAATCGACCATTTTTGATTTGGATGAATCTTGGTCCTTTTGACATACAATAAAGTTCTGCCAAAGGAAACAAATTTATTATTTTCATAATTATGGAAAATTCAAAATTTCACGATTTTTGAATATCTCAAAAATATTATAGCTACACAAATTTCTCTAGTCTCTTTTTAAAGGTGATCTTAAAAAATCCTGAAATTTTTTAAAGTGTTTTATAAATTTATAAATTTTTGAGCTTTAAAACAAATTTAAGCCTATCAGTCTGTCTTCGTTTTTGCCGAAAACGCTAGGGATACTGATAGACCCGTACTTAAGACAGTCCAAGTGACTGTCATGAAAGGTCAGTGGATACCGCCCTGCACACATTGATAAAGTGGTTAGAGGAAGCCTTCACGCACAAAGAATATGCAGTAGGAGCCTTCCTCGGCCTTCAACAAAGTCACTCCCGAGGCAATAGTCAAGTGTATTTATAATCTGGAGCTTGAAACCAACCTATAGCCCTAATCGGAATTAGTGGAGCATTAGGAGCCACACCTACACTGGCGCTTTACGTCATGTTGAACACGACGCCTGCGGATATTGCAGACAGAATTGCCGCAGCACGAACTGCTATTATGCTCAGAGAAACGGATGGTAAAACTCTGAACTTCTGAAGGGCTTTGACTTCGCTCTGAACACATAGATCACAGCGCCTCCGAAATGGCTCCCAAATCTCCTTCTCTACCTATATTCCCGTAAGATAGGACTGGGTAGGGCGGGGTTACTCGAAGAAGGCAGCGGCAAACTTCTTCACGGACGGACGGAAATTTGGAGACAGGGTTGGTGGAGGTTTATTTTGTCGGAAACTCTCCATCAAAACTATGTTCAGGCTTCCGGACGTCTGCAGTGTCATTCAGGTGGAAATAGCTACCCTCAAGGAAGCGGTAGACTCACTGCTAAAGGGTGTGATAGTGCGCTCGAAATCGGTAAAGGAATGTCTGACCTGTCGATCAGTCACTTCGGAGTACTTCTTAATAAGGCTAGTTTAGGTGCCGGGTCACAGTGACATAGCGGGAAACTGCTTGGTTGCGGACCTGGCGTTGGAAAGGTATCCCAGATAAGGCGAAACTAGGAACGCCTCTGCCCTCCTGCGGTACACTCTTGGATGTTTGGGCCTAATGCTAGCTCGAGGAGCGCTAGATTAACAAGCATATTTCGTACCCGTGATAATGAAATTGCATACTCTACTAAATACCTAATAAAATGCGCAAAAGAAAGCGATGCTCCTTTTGTGATTTAAAAAAGGAAAAGAACGTTTTAACGCTGAAGTAGGCTGAAGTAGGTATAGGGTATTTTAAAATGCTTTTTTGCAGCGCAAGACACGAGTGACCCATCGTTACCCCTCAAGGGCTAGTGATGGTCCATTTTATGTCAGCTATCAAGAGTCAGATGAGACTTTCTCTTAGACTGTCCAACCTTCGGAAAGCTAAGATGGAAGCAGTTTGGCTCGTACTTTTTAACTAACACTGAGCTCCCAGGGATCGAAATTAACCCAATTTGAAATTTGGTAATTGGGTCGCGGTATTTCGCCGACTAAATTAAGGCTTTTTGTTCAATTTTTTCGTGGTGTCACATAGGACAATCTCTTAATTGTCCAATTATGTCCATTGCCTGGGGCAATCACTTTAACCTGACCCAACCTAACCAGTACTTCTTTCAGCTATGAAATAGTTGGTCACATTACTCATACGTCACGAATCCACGAACAAAAAAGCACCAATCAGCTGTTGATAAACATAATTTATAAGCTGAAAAGGAGGTTCACAGTTGATAAAATTATCGAGTAACAACCAGCAGTTTACTAAAACTACCGAAATGGATGTGAAAACCCTTATTAAAGTTTTCATATGTTGCATAAATTTTTTGAATTGGAAATTGATTATTAAATAGATAGAAGGAAACTTACAATGAAACTTTGCGCCCTCCCCAGGTATCCACGCGTTTCATCAAACTTAATAAACTCAAAGCAGTCTAAAAAAAAATATTAAAAATCAACGTGATTTTTTAGCCGGTTGAAACTTGCACTTCATCAGACTAAAATTGGACGGGCTATAAAACTGCATACCAAAAAATTTTCTAAAGATTCAGATTAACAGATTAAAAGAATTGATTTTTATGGAAATTTGTTGAATTTTTCTACGTTTTGCGTAAACTTCTGTCTATATAGTTTCTGTCAAAGCTTGGATAATGGCTGCATTTCTTTATTCATTCTGAACGTTTGGAATAAACTTTTTTGTTTACTTATTCTTTAGAACGTTCTTGATGATATGTTAACGTATATTTCAAACGCATTCTGTTTATTCCGGCTATGAAATGGGATTATCCGGAATGTATAAAGAAACGCAGCCAATATTTTTATAGAAAAATAACACCCAAAATTTAACTTGAAACACATTGTGAAGGAAAAAAATGAACACGTGGTCACTTGTTTGAGCCACTGTATAATTTAATTCAAGCATTTATCAAAAATATGTCTTCATATCAAATTTCAATGTCATGTGATTTACGGTATCGAAGTTATAGCTGATTAAAAATGTTACGCCTATGGGAGGTGCTACGCCCACTTGTGAGAGCCCAATTTTTTATACCCTAGTACAGATTAGTGAGTTCAAACAGACAAACAGAATCAACTAAAGGGGCATCATTTAATGCAGTGGCATTCAATTAAAGAAAATCGCATTAATGTAAACTTGCCTTGAGTAAATCAAATTTCTGTACCATCGTTAAGTTGTCGAAACTTAGTTCTACGCAAAGCAAACAAATTTGCGCAAACATTGATGCGTACCTACATGTACATACCAAGTGATAATACATCGCTGTTGACTCTACCCGGATAGAAATCAATTAAGTACTTGAAATTAGGTTGTATTTGATTTTTCGATTGCCTTGTGGGGTTGGCTTGTGTTTACTGTGGCGAATGTCTACCAAAAGTGCGCCGTTTTAAATTGAAAAGGTTAGTGAACTTCAAAAGGGTTAGTGGCGGCTGTCTCCGTAATGTGTTTTTAAATGCTTTTATTATATCTGATATATGTATGTATGTATGCATGTTTAGATTCCCTTAAGCTCGAATCGCTAAAAACTCGAAAATACTTTTCACGACATTATACTAATACTAGATCGCTCTCACCCGCTTCGCTGAGTGTATGATATTTCTACGTGCTACATTAGGTGTAATTTATTTTAATTAAACTCAACATACTTAAAATATGCGAAAATCAGGAGACTTTAAATTTTTTACATATCTTCAAAATATTTTCAAACTCAAACTATCATAAACCTCTCTCTTTTGATTCTTTTTCATACTTTTGTACATGTAGTTTAGAAGTGAAGCCATTTAACAATCATTTCGATTGATACCCATATCGTAATAACTCATTGAAATGATTGAAAATTTTGAATTTTGAATTTTACGTTTTAAGCCGTTAATTCCTTTAAATCAAGTTGAATTTTAATTTCCAAACATGTGGAGTCCCTGCTATACATATGTTGCTTAGAAATAAAGCCTTTTCAAGACACTTTCGATTAAAACCTAGATTGTAATAACTCATTAATCTTATAATTTATTTGTATTCGAATTTAGATTTAGAACAGGTGGCAACCCCCTTAAAAAACATCAGAAAACTCGACATGTTAAAGCTGAACATTTCTAATTTAAAGTCAACATTTAAAACAGGTGGCAACCCTCTTCGATATATTTTCCTACTGAAACCCTATTAAATCCCTCTTTTCTGACGTCCATATTGTGATACATATTTCAATTATCAAATTCCTTTAATTCAAGAAGAACGAACAGGTGGCAACCCTCGTACATGTAGTGTGGAATTAAAACCCTTATCAAATACCTCTCGATTGATACCCATATTGTAGTAATTCATTTAAATTAAATGAATTTAATTTTTAAACAGGTGGCAACGCTTGTAAAACCTCAGTAATATTTTAAATGTTCAATGTGAATGTTTCTTAGTAATCTTTCATTTAACACCCATATATTAATTTTTTCAGATAGATTGCTAATAATTAATTTAAATTTGGCTTTTCGAACAGGTGGCAACCCTTTCCAAAATACTTTCAAACTACAACTTTTTAAGCCTCTTGTTATCCATTCCTTAATATAGTGTTCAAATAAATAATTCCCTTAATTCAAATCGAATTTGATTTTTTGAACAGGTGGCAGCCCTCCTCCATGAGTATGGAATTGATTTTATATACATTTATGTATATCCTGTACTCTATCAAAAATATTTTCTGAGATATGATATGCGGTATAAAAATTCCGTTTTATGGGAGGTGCCACGCCTCCTTGTATAATCGAAATTAAATCTATCCTATATTTTAAGTTGGGCTAACAGATTTATTATGCGCTGGGCATGAACCACGTAAGACGACAATCGTCTGAACGATATCGTGTCCAGATTTGTCTTGCTTCATGAAAACCAAAAATTCGTTGATCGATTGTCCGATATCGTCAACACGATTACAGTTTTGCTTCACGTAACAGTAAAACTAACAGTAACACGTAACAGCAACACAAATGCATAAATCAGTGTTTTGACGACGTCGTTTTGTCAGTATCGTTTGAAAGACAATCGTTTCAAAGTTACGTGATTCATGCCCTGGTAATAAAAAGTTTGTAACCGGTAAATAAAGTTCCTGTCAATTTTTAAACCCTTTTCGCATTCTGTGTACTCTTGTAACCAGTAAATTGTGTTACCATCTCATAAGCTGGTAAAAAATTATTGCCCCATGAAATATGCAACGCCAGGATTTGCACAATTCTTCATAGCTAAATTGCTGAATATTTTAACTGCATTACCAACGTA